ATATATATATTACACACACACGTATAATACACACACACATATATACATACATACATTACACGGCTATATTTTCCTGTACAGAGAGGAGTTGAACAGTGATGGCTTGAGGGACAGAGGACTTCCTGAATCTGTCCATGGAGCAGGACAGGGACTGAAGTCTACACTGAAGGAGCTCCTCTGCTTCTGATGGCATCATGCTGTCCTTCATGGACGATGCTGACTCAGCATCGTCCATGAAGGACAGCAGCTTCCTGACGGCTCTTTTGTCTGTCCCCGATGTAATGGACTCCAGCTCTGTTCCCAGCACAGAACCAGCTTTCCTCACCAGCCTGTCCAGTCGTCCTGCATCTCTCCTCTTAATGCTGCCTCCCCAACACACAACAGCACAGAGGAGGACACTGGCTACCACAGACTGGTAGAACATGAGCAGGAGTTTCCTGCAGATACTGAAGACCCAAGCCTCCTCAGGAAGTAGAGCCTGCTCTGACCCTTCATGTAGAGGGAGTCCATGTTCACTGACCAGTCCAGCCTGTCACCCAGTTCTATGCTCAGATATTTGTAGCTCCAGACCACCTCCACATCGACCCCCTCAATTGAGACTGGCTTCAGGGTAGGCCCAGACCTTCTGAAGTCCACTACCATTTCTTTTGTTATACTGATGTTCAGCTGGAGATGGCTGAATTTTGAACCACACTATAAAGTCATCTACCAGGGTCTTGTACTCCCTCTTCTGTCACATATCCAACGATTACAGTATCATCTGAGTACTTCTGCATGTGGCAGATGAACCGAGTTATAATTGAAGTCAGATGTGAACAGAACTGGAGAGTACGGTCTCGTGCAGTGCGTCATAGCTACCTGGTCCAATTTAGTTATTGTAATTTAAATTGTAACAGGACAGAGATTCTAGTTAGAAAGACCAGTCTCATACCTTTATATTATCAGAGGAATATTTTCTAAATAATAAACAATTAATTCATAAATTACTTAATATGGAAAAATTAAAAAAATTAATATACCAAGGCAATAATAATATTATGTCATTTTGACTGTATTACTTATAAATAGTTCTTACTAATAGAAATAATGCATTATTGAACAAAAGTGGATTAAAAACAACAAAGTCCATGCTCAATAATCCAGGTATACAATCCAACATTTTTCAGTCAGGTCATCTGGACAAAAAAAAAAACAGTCCAGATGACCTGACTGAAAAATGTTGGATTAAAAATAGTTTTGTTTGCTAAAATGTCAAGAGATGAAAGTATATTTAATTCCATGTTTAATTATTGGTCTTGTGTCGGTGTCACCTTCAGTTGTTGCAGTGTTGTTTTACGTGTACTCTTGTTTTTACAAACGGTTACATCCAACACATAAACACGATGTAGGTGAGGTCCGCTCCATTCATCGTTAAAACATTTCTCATTTCACCTCGTTGTGTTTTTAAATGTTGTCCTTTCAGACCTCCAGCAGGAACCAGTCCACAACACTGAGCTGATCCTCACAGACCAGCAGCTCTGCAACCAGGAGAGGAACTCCAGCCTGAACCAGGAGGAACCAGAACCTCCAATAATCAAAGAGGAACATGAGGAACTAGAACCTCCACAGATCAAAGAAGAAGAGCAGGAGCTCTGCACCAATCAGGAGGAAGATCAGCTCCACGCGAAGCAGGAAACTGATCTGTTTATGGTGACAGAACCAGACGGGGAGCAGCTCATCTCTCAGAGTTCTGCTGAACCTGAGGACCAGGATTCAGGTTCAAACAAAAATACAGAGTGGTCACCAATGAAGACGGCTCATACGGACACTTGTCATGGTAACGACGCAGACCAACCAGCAACATCTGAGAGGTTGTTTTCTTGTAAAGTCTGTGGAGAGACTTTTGTAGAGAATTCACTTCTGAGCCGTCACATCCAGGTCCACTCAGTTAGGATCCAGAACTCTGACAGTCTGCAGTACTGTTGTCCCACCTGTGGTAAAAACTTCCCTGCTTTCATCAATTTAGTCAAGCACACGAGAAGCCACACAGGTAAGAAGCCTTTTCCTTGTCCAGTTTGTGGAACTACGTTTAATACCAGTGCGGACTGTAAAAGACACATGATGATCCACACAGGGGAGAGGCCGTATTCTTGTCAAACCTGTGGAAAATGTTTTAATCGAACTTCACTTCTGAATCGTCACAAGATGATCCACACGGGGGAGAAGCCATTTTTTTGTGAAACCTGTGGAAAACGTTTTCATCAGTTTTCACATCTGAATTATCACATGAGGATCCACACAGGAGAACGGCCGTTCATTTGTGAAACCTGTGGAAAAAGTTTTTATCAGTCTTCACATCTGAAGTATCACATGGCGATCCACACAGGAGAACGGCCGTTCATTTGTGAAACATGTGGGAAAAGGTTTTATCAGACTTCACATCTGAATCGTCACATGATGATGCACATATAAGAAAGGCCGTTCATTTGTCAAACCTGTGGGGAAAGTTTTAATCGAACTTCTTGTCTAAAAACTCACATGAAGGTTCACACAGGCTGAACTGATCTGTCACGTGTGGAGAAAAGTTTTACTAAATGGTCTGGAAGAGATTTTACAGCGAGGAGAAGGAAACTCTCAGAATGTGTAGAAAAGTTAGAAAAGCCTTGAATCCTGTCCATGTTTACAGAAAAGTTTTTAAGACTCGTTGCTTAAACATCAAATTTATGTAAATTTTTGAAAATAATTAATAAGGAAATTAAGACACCTGGACCTGCCATTCTGTGTTTGTCTGTTTCTACTTCCTGTCCTCTCAAATGCAGCCGGTTGCAGCAGATGGACGCTCGTCCTGAGCTGGTTCTGCTGGAGGTTTCCTGCTAAAAGGGCGTTTTTCCTTTCCTGCTGTTGTTGGTGTGGTTCTAAATGCTCCTGTGCAAAGTCTTTATGCCTGATGTTGTATTGTGTCTAATATTTCCAGATGTTTCTTTGCTGCTGATCCGTAAATGATGCTTCCATAATCAATATTTGACCAGAGTAATCCAGTGTGTATTTGTTTTAAAGACCCTCTATCTGCTCCCCAGTCACTGCCAGACAAACATCTCATAATGTTTATTAATATTTTCTTACATTTATCTATCATTTTCTGTATGTTTATTTTCTATATGATTTTCTCATTGAACCATATTCCTAAAAACTTTATGCTTTTTTACTTGTTCTAATTCTTGATTACCATGTACAACTTTAGTTTTATTTCCTCTCATTTTTGTGTGTAAACACCATAATATTGTTTTCCACTGAGAACTTAAATCCCCATTGAAAAAAGATCTGAAGCTGTCCACTTTGACCTCCCTAAGGAATTTTAAACAACTGTTAAGTTCAATGTAAAAATCAATGCAGACATGTTCCTGTTTTAGTATTTTACCTTGTTTCATAATTGAGCTTGTTTTTATTTTGTTTTATATGACTACTTTTATTTACTTTTAATTTTATATGATTTTTATGACTGATTTGTTGTGTGTACCTTATTTGTGTGTTCTATTTTTTTAAACAAGTCTCTTGAAAATTAATCCTTGTAACTCAATGGGACCAACCTGTAGAAATAAAGGTTGAACGAATGAAAAAATGCATTTCTCTATTCTAACCACCGCAGCTTGTATTTTCTTTACAATGAATTCTGTATTCTGACCTCTTTCATACGGCTCCATCATCTGCAAACAGTGACCATCCCATTTCTTTTTCAATGTCTGTAAATATTTATCATTATAGGAAATGCCTCAGATAAAAAGTGTTAACTTTCTTTTTATCTACCGGTATATGAATGTTTCTGTTCAGTGCCCTGAGATGACTTCTGTTGAGACTTAACGTTGTAGAAATAAATTAAATTGAAAACAATAAAGGACTTAAAATACTTCCTTGTGGTGTTCCATTTTCTACTGCATTTTTTCTTGATAATTATTGACCAATTCTAACTTCTATAGTTCTATTTGATAAAAAGTTTTGAATCCATTGGAACATTTCCAGTAAAACCCATTTGATATAATTTGACTAGTAATCCGTTGACCCACATCATGTCATACGCCTTCTCAGTATCCATAAATACAGCAACTAGACTTTGTGTTGTCTTGTGCTCTCTGATTTCATGCTCTAAACACAATATTGGATCATTAATTCAATTCAGTTTATTTCTACAGTTCCAAGTCCCAACAGAAGTCGTCTCAGGGCACTGCAGAAACATTCACATAACGATCAGTAAAAGTTCTGCAGCAGGTTGTGTTGAATCTTCACTTCGTCACAGTCTCATCCTGAGTAAGCACGAAGGAGACAGTGGAAAGGAAAAACTCCCTTTAACAGGAAGAAACCTCCAGCAGAACCAGCTCAGGACAAGTGGCCATCTGTAGTTTGAGAGGACAGGAAGTAGAAACAGACACACAATGGCAGGTCCAGAATGAAGGTGAGCAGGTCTGAACCTCCTTTCTCTCTGCGGTTCTGCTGATCATTTACACGACACCAGTGGCCCCGGAGGCTTCTGGACCCACTTTCCAGAGTGGAGGTTTTTCTCTGACCGCCCGCTGAAAATGTAAACATCTCCCACTGAGAAAAAAGTTGGATTGTATACCTGGATTATTGAGCATGGACTTTATCTCCCGCTGAGGCTTTGTGTTAAACCACATGCGCACGCGTGGACAGACGTCATATTTCTATCAGCATGGCGGCGACACACTACTTTCAGAACTACGACTGATGGAATATATTTTTAATCTCGTAGTTAATCTACGTCAGATTCCAGGTGCTGTGACCGACATCTGTGTTGGAAGAGACACAGTCTGATCCAGTTCTGATGTCTCTGTTTAAAGAACGAGGCACGTGCACATGTCGCGCTGCACTATAACATCTAAATGTGCCAAATAATAAGTTTAATAATAATAAACAGTATTTGTCTTTAGTGTGAGAGATAATGAAGCTCTGAGCTAAATAAAGCTATCTGGACATTATGTAATTCAAATTATGTGATTAAAATGATGCTAAACATATTGTGTGTTATTAAAGTTGAAAATGAAGACATCAGGTTTAATTTTTATTTATTTATTTATTCAACACCACAAACTGTATGTCACACAAACACTGATAATTAAACTGAACACACTATTAAAAACAAGTTAACTGTAAACTGCATGAATGAACTGGACTCTGGTCCCACGTTGTTCTGACTCGTTCAGGCCGTCACTCCTTTGATTAATGCAGATTAAAACATTCAATGGATCGAATAAAACAACTGAGGGGAATTTTAAATAAATAGTTCATCCAACATCTCTCTCTTCGACGTCCTCCTGCACTGCACCTGGGCCGAGCCTCGTTCACAGAATCATGTGATCACATGATGCTGTGATCACATGATGCTGTGATCACATGATGCTGTGATCACAGCATCATGTGATCACAGCGTCCCATGTTTGAACGAGCGTCTTTAATTATTTTATTCTGAGCTTCGTGGTGAAATGTAAGAAGTTTACCTGTCCTGCATGTTTTGTGTTGCTCTGCTCCAACTCACCTGCTGTGAGTTAACGGGTCATGGACCCACTGGGTCAGCTGCAGCCAGAACTTCTGATCTTTACATCCCAGCAGAACCTCGTCGTGAGAGGACCAACGTTCACTTCAGTGGACGTTGTTGCTTTTATTAAAACGTTTTAGAACCGGTTCTGTCTGACCAACTGCCGGCTTCCTGTTCAGCTCAGGGCCCGGAGGAGCCGTGTCCGGACCACAGGGTCCAGCAGAACCAGGTTTGAGACCAGAGCAGGGACTCTGTATCTGATTTTTAGAATGAGTCTTTGGCTCCACAGCCACAGAACTCCTCTGGGTCCACTGTGATGGGTCCGGTTCTGTCTGTTGGACTTTGAGCCGGGACAACTAAACCACTTCCTCCTTGGCAGACTGGGGGGAGGGAGTTGTCCTGTAGTTGCTGCTCGTAGGTTCAGGTCCACATCAGCCCCTCTCCAGTCTGAGTCCTGTAGCAGAGGTCCGGTCCATTCATCAGAACACTGTTTGATTTTGAACCTCTTTGTTTTGGTCCTCAGGCCTCCAGCAGAACCTCCACAGATTAAAGAAGAGCAGGAGCTCTGCACCAACCAGGAGGAAGATCAGCTCCACCTAAAGCAGGAGACCGGTCCGTTTATGGTGGCAGAACCAGACAGGGAGCAGCTTATCTCTCAGGGTTCTACTGGACCTGAGGACCAGGACTCTGGGTCCATTGAAGACTCAGAGTGGTCACCAAAGAAGATAGAGCGCGTGTGTGTGAGTTGTAGGGACGGTTCTGGTGTTCTTTGCAGAATCTGTGGAAAAACCTTTTCTTAGAGTTCCTTCTGGTGGGTCACATGAAGGTCCACGTGGTCCGGATCTGGTCAGAAGGCAGAACTGCTGTCCCATCTGTGCCAAAAGCTACACCGCCAGTAATAATTTGTCCATACACATGAAAACACACCGGAGAGAGGCCGTTCTCCTGCCGGACCTGCAGGGAGAAGTTCATCCGGACAGAACGGCTCCAGTACCACAAGGATCAACGCGGACGAGGACTTGAACACGCGACAGCACCTCTGTCCCGCCTGCGGCAAGAAGTTCTTCTCCTGTAACGACCTGGCCATCCACATCAGGAGCCACACCGAAGAGAAGCCGTTCTCCTGCAGCTTGTGCGGTAAAAAGTTCAGCATCAGCGAGAACTGCAAGGTCCACATGAGGGTCCACATGAGGGTCCACATGGGCGGTTCTCGTGTTGGGCCTACGGGCGAGGCTTCAGCAGCAACGCCAGTCTGAAGGTCCACATGAAGGTCCACGTGAAGGTCCACGTGAAGGTTCACATGAAGGTCCACATGAAGGTTCACATGAAGGTCCACGTGAAGGTCCACATGAAGGTCCACGTGAAGGTCCACATGAAGGTCCACGTGAAGGTCCATGTGAAGGTTCACATGAAGGTCCACGTGAAGGTCCACGTCTTTAAAAAGTACATTTGAATAAAGAACTTTTGCCGTTTATTACGCCAAGAGACAGTTCTCCCTCCATCCGAATGGCTACATCAGTCCGAGGAGTCACAAACAAACTGTTTTCCCACCAAGCAGTGCATTCTTTTAGTGGACCAACCAGTTTGCTTATCTCTGCAGATAAATTCGGAAGACGTATCTGGAGGGTCACCTCTGATTGGACGAAAAAAAAAGTCTGAACAAAAACAAGGTGTTTGTGTTAACCACAGAGAAATGATGTTCATGGTGTTAACCGGTTACACTGGTGGTGTCTCCATAACTTCTTTCTGCCTCTCTGAACACAGAACTTCCTGTTACATTTCAAAATAAGAGCAACTTAAATGAGTAGTGTGGAGGGCTAAATGTTGTTTAATACTTAGCCATAACATTAAAAAACAAAATCTGTTTTGGTTGTTGAAAAATGTGAAAATAGTTACAATTGATTCATAAAGAAAGAAAAATAAAGTAACCAAAATATTAATGATACTTCGTCTTTGGGACAAAGGATGTTTCCTTTAACTTCACATTTTCTTGTTCATCTTTTAAATCAGTCCCTGCAGATGAGTGATTGTCAGTTTCTGTCAGATTCTGCACCTGGAGCAGGTATTCTGTTTACTGCTTCACCTCCTCAGCTGTCTCAGGTTTTAAGGCTCAGTCCTTCTCCATGTCTCAGCTCCTCTCATAGATCAGGTCTCATAGAAGAACTTCTAAAGAACATTTTGTTTTTAGCTTTTGTTTTTGGGACATTACCTCGTTACAGGACTCATGATCTTTAATTGGGACCAGACGTTTTGACAAGTGGAGCAGGTTTCTCTTCAGATGCTTCATGCAGGGCCTTCTCTGTTAGTGCCCCTAAGTTATGGAACGCTCTGCCTTTGCACATTCGACAGCCCCCTCAATGTCCATTTTTAAAACCCGTCTGAAAACTCATCTCTACTCATCGGCTTTCAGCCCAACTGAGACTTGATTTTACATTTTTTTACTGGTAATGATTTTATCTGTTTAACTCGTCGTTTTATTGTGTTTTAAGCTGAGCTTTTAGTTCACTGTGTGCTTGGCTTTGTATCTTTGTTTTTATGCTCTTTTATCTTGTTTTCAACTGATGTTCAGCACTTTGTTTCAGCTGCCGCTGTGTTAAAGCACTTTATAAATAAAGTTGATGACGATGATGATGATATTTCATTGCACCCAGACCACACTACAGCCAGCCTGTGTCAGGTGCAGCTACAACCCAAGAACTAAAGAATCTTCATGTGTGACAGCAGATATAACGCTGTTTCTTAGAAACCTTCAGTTTAAAAAATAAATTAAAAAAAGCTCATGTAATTTACCTAAAGAGCCAGAACATACAGCTGCCAGTCAGTGTTTGTCCTCTAGAAACGCCCCCTTTTGTTCTGCAGAGAACCCCTTCTCTTCTCGTTTGCTGGTGATAAACTGGTTTCTGGGCGCTGCCATCCCCCCCCGTCGATCCCTCCCATTGATCCTTCTTGAACTACATGTACAACATTATTGATCAATGATAAATGTGAGGGATATGGAGAAAACAAACGTTGAACGTATGAGGGTATGGTGCATGCAGTGGACAGATAAGAAATATTCAGAACAGAAGAACTCAGTTATTAATATTTAGAGTAAAATTGAACAAAATAAGAGAAAAACGTCGTTAACTGATTTAACTCCAACCTAAAACCAGAATTTAGAAGGTGCAGTTACGCTCATGTCCTGTAGGTGGCGGTGTGAAGGTCCGAGCAGCTAACGATCCGCCCTGAAAGTGAAGAAGAAGAAGATCCCGGTCGGCGTTTTTCAGCCGCCATTAAAAAAAAGAAGAAGAAGCGGCGGGTCCGTCGGCCTGGAGTCGGTTTGTGTGTTTCTGCTCTCCGCTGAGTGCTTGACCAGACCTTTTGGTGAAAATGGCTTCATCTCAGCTTCTGAAACTGTTCATCAGCGAGCGGCTGACCGCCGCTGCGACAGAAATCTTCTCCGAGTTCGAAAAGACGATCCTGCGGTACGAGGAGGAGCTCGGTCGGCAGCGCAGGCTGCTGGACTCCGCCACCAGGGGACCCGGAAAAAAGACGAAAAGAATCGGTACGTGGTTCGAGATGATCCCACTAACGGCTCTTCTGATGCAGTTTTTATAAAGGAGGAGAACCTGGAAGCCCACAAAGACTCCCCAAGTCACACCGAGCATCCGCCGGCTAACTAAGCTAACAAAGCTAATGGATGCGTGTATTTACTGGAGCGTTAGCTAGTTCTTCAGCTGTAGTTCAGTTCCAGCTACTATATGACCCAAAATAAACTTTTTTTATTTTTGCTCTACGACCCGTTTTATTCCCATTTTAAATGCCCTTATTTAATATTTTAATGCTCTTATTTCTTATATCCTGTTTATGAATGTTACCAAACAGAACGGTCCAACTGGTCCAGATGACACGATTTAACCTTTTTTTGTTTGAATGGTTTCTGTCTCAACTGGCAACACTACCCAGGTCCACAAAAATCCCTCAAAGTCTGAGTCCTGAAGATGTGGTCCGGTCCATTCATTATAAGAACAGTTCTGTAAAGTTTTAACCACCTTGTTCTGTTTTGTTCCTTCAGGACTCCAGCAGGGACCGGTCCACCAGCCCAAACTGGTTGCCATCAGACCAGAGGGGAACCCCAGTTTGATGGAGAAGGAACCAGAACCAGACCCTCAGGAGATCACTGTGGAGCAGCCAGATCCAGATCCTGAGGAGATCACTGTGGAGCAGGAGGAACCAGAACCTCTGGAGATCACTGTGGAGCA